ATTTGTGTACAGCTTTGAGGTACAGGTGTTACGCCTTTTGTCTTTTTGTCTTTGTTCAACAACATCTGCTGATCCGTTTGGCTGCAGTTAGCCATTCGGGTGGAGATGGAGATGAGCTTTATTTAAGCCACTTTTTCTAGGCCCTTCTCCTATGGAGCAAGCAGTGCTTTCCTTGGGAAAAGTGGCTTGGTCGTTCATGATGTTGCCGAGCGACCGTTATCTCTGAAGTCAATCTCAAGCAATTAATATCCTGAACCGCCTGCACGCAGAGTTGGATCTGCAGCTTCCAGTGCATCCTATCAGCTGCCGTTCCATTTCTCGTCTGTTGTTACAGGGCTTTACAAAAGCGGGTTTATCCTTCGAACCTGCGCAGAGGATTATTTAGGTGTAGCGTAGCATGCGCGGAACCCCACACTTTACTCTTGAGGTCTATCTGACGAATATGGTGTACGTCGGCATTAACAATAAACTTCAAACATAACTATTATACATCCATAGCTTAAAATTTTAATAAACTTGGAAAACAGAAAAGCACAGAACACAGAACAGTATGTGAGGACAATATTTCCGACCTGATTTCCCTCCAAATCGTAAAATCCAGCTGTTTGCCCCCAATCTACCAATACCAAAAGTTCGCCAAAAGTACTGTAAATAATGGAATCATTTATATACATAAATTCATTTTTGGGAAATATTCAGCAAACATTCACCTTCAGGTACCTTAAAAAATCTTTAGAACTGATATTTTTGCTTAATTTCCTGGCTACAGTAAGATTTGGACAAAGAAAAAAGAAGGAAGGCAAAAACAAATTACCTTTTTTGAATATTGAAATCACACTGCCAAGAAGTATCCCTATAAGCAAGCTTTTTATTTTTTGAAGAATTTTAAAACAAGATATACAAAGAACAAATTTGAGTGGAACTCACGCAGTGCTTCGAGCAGCCCCAAAAGCAATTGCCCAAACAGGTTCACCAGAGGGTCGTTCAATCTTTTTTATTTCTACACTATTCTGAAAGATAAAGTAAGATGGCGTACAAAGGAAAGACATTTTGTGTCACCCTAACAAAAGCTTAACTTGAACTTTTATCATTTCTGCATAGAATGAATTTTTATGTTTCCTTTCTGATCAACTTTGCGTGGACTCAATATTTCACCGTAAAACAGCTTGTTCTACGTAGTAAATGATAAAATGTTTTGGGTATAAATGCATGAGGAAGAAGGGAAGCTCAAGAGTCCAATCAGAAAATGGAAATCGAGAAGGCAAGACAAGAAAAGTGCAGCGGACAAAAATCCGTGTCAGTAACGAATGCCTTATTTCCGTGTCCGCCACAATAGGAAAAACGAGTGAAAGCGCAGTTTACCGTAGCAGAACGCAAAGATACAGTGCCATCGAACATTCCAATAGCATAAAGTTGACCGTCGCAGCTCCATGCACAACAAACACACCTGCTTGATATTCGCTGTTTACTAACACTTTTCTCTAGCTGAGTCCATATCCCTGGAGATATATTTCTTTGGTTAAACTCATGAACTAATTAAGGATAAAGCATTTATGAATCGCATTACAATTCAGATTTATAAACTTAGTTCGCTCTATAATTTTGAAAGGTATAAAATTTGCTGTCCAAATTTCATTTATTAAGATATGTCATATTAGTTTGCCAGCTACAATTACGAAATAATATGCTAAGAATAAATGTAATTTGTCATATTAACAACGAAAGTTAATTCAAAGGCTTACCGAAATCACTGATGGCGCAGCTAAGTAAAAAGGATGTTGCAGGACTAAAAGCTAGACATTGTATTGCTTCGTTGTGTCTGAAAATGATCCATCTGATAAGAGTGAAAGACCTTCAAATTCAAATTTATAGAGGCTATTATCTAGATCTGTAATTGTTTCTGCATTATAAATTTTCGACGAATGCAAGTTATACTGGCCTACTAAACGACCGCGTAAGAAAATTAAAAATTTGAAACAAGAAAGGTTCAAATCTTTCCACTTTTTTCAATGTTTAAAAATACAAGCTGACATGTAAATACAACACAATTTAGAATATTTAATTACCAATGCATAATCACTATTTTGATAGCGAGATGTAATACGAGGTTCTAAGTCATACACAATATTTCATTGTGGTACACAATCCAGAGCATTGGGAAAGGTTCTTTGTATGTACATCAGCGGGTAGATTTTTCAACTAGGATATCAATATGGCAGGATCTACGGCAAATAAAAGCATAAATAAATCAATACTTAAGTTTTAAATGGTAATTTAGGAAGGGAAAAGGTACACATATTTAAGCGTTCCTTCATGCTGCTCAGTCCATATAATAACGGAGCGATCGGCAGAACCGGATGCAAAATTTTCGCCGTTATATGAAAATGCAACGGCATACACAAGATCTTTATGACCTGTAAACAAAGAAATAAGACTTCATTTTCTGGCAGTTTTAAGTTAATAAGACTTCAAAAGGAACCGAACCTTTCAAGGACTGCAACAACGTGCCATCTGTTCCGTCATAAATCAAAACTTTCGTATCAGCCGCAACAAGTAATTCTGATCCATCTGGTTTGAAAGCCAAATCATAAACGCAACACCTGAAATTTTCTTATGACTTAACAAAATTATCAGTGGGAAAACAGACTTCTTTTAAATAGCAGTGTGTGGGTAATAATTGCCAATTGTGAAGATAGAGATTCTATAGGGTAAAGTTCATTCCGTAACAGTTTTGATCAATACCACGGTGTTCATATCGGGATTTCCTGTGACAGGCCGGATAAGATATGCCAAACTAAATGAAAAGTAGCTTCGCCTTTAGGCGTTCAGTTCTTGGTTCTGTTTCATCTAGCTTACTGTCCGCGTGGCATCGATTTGAAAGGCGAAGTGAAGATGAACTAAAGCAAACAGATTGCCTATACTCAAGGATGACTAGCGTCTTCGCGTTTTCGGTAAATTTATGAAACCCAAGAAGCATTGCAGTTCAGAAATAGCGTGAAGCACTCAAAGTCATGGAGTAATCGAAGATTCTGGAGAAGTATTTCTGTTAGCGGCGACACTTTATTCATTTTTATTTTCATGCTCTTCCGAAGAGTATCTTTAGCGGGTGTTGCTAATTAACTTATAATTTTACTGTTTATAATAATACTCAATGTAACTATGTAAAAGATTGGAGTTAGCATTATTTAAAATACTGACATTTAATTGTTTACAAATTATCAGATTGAGCAGTTAAGATAATGAAAATGATACATATTTGAATAATGACGAGATCATTATTACAAAAAAAAATAATGTAGAAGAAAGGATGTAGAAATCGGGGGCACATGTGGCATATAAGGAACTGCACTTAATTTCATTATCATTTCTTTACGTATAAATATGAAAAAGCAGAAAAGAACAATATTCAGTTATGGTTCTAGTCCATGCTATTCTTCTGATATGCAGCTTGACACAGGTAGCCTACTCTTTCTTCATTGATACCCATATACCATTGCTCTTTTATATACTTTCTTTACGTTCAGACTTCAGAAGGATTGCTCCTCACCAAATTAACATCAGCTAGCAAAGCCATTTTCCGGTTCATTTATTCCTGACATCGATTATAACTGTTGCACAATACGACACATTTTTTTACCTGGCTACTCCATCCCATCTTCTCAACATTAACTATTACACCACGGTACCTCTAACTTCTCATTGATGATTCCGTTTTCCAATTTAGAAATCATAAAGTTTCTCACTCTTCCTGGAAAATTCATGACTCTAGAAGTAGTTGTTTCTCTTGATACCACAGGGGAAGAACTACCAAATAACTTCAAAAATTAAAAATGAAATAGAATATCGAAAAATCAATTCAACTTTTTGAAAAATTCATGGGTCTGAAATACATTATGACAAGGTTCTTTGCCTGCATCAAATTTTTAGATTACTCTAGACAATAGACAAGATAAAGAAATAAGGAAGTACAACGACGAAGATCTTATAATTCTAAAATGATTTCCAAGTTGAGGCTAGTCCTGAATAATAGTTTTTTTCTCACTTACCTGCTTTGAGTGATATTACTTTCAAGAACGACTTCCATTCTTACTTCGAAATCACTTTGTTTCTTTTGCTTTACCCATATCACCTCTATCATTCTGATTATTGGATCAGTTTGTAGAAATCATCTTAATTCATAAAGGAAATTCCATGTCCTCCTTTTATACGCCCAAATTATTTCTACGCCGTCTTTTAAATCAATTCTTCCACATATGTAACACCATGCCAATACATACTTCCACATGCCACGTGTTCGAAAATTTACATTCCTTCTACTACAATCTTTGATACAAAATGCCACTGGACACAAAATGTCACTGGTATTGGCGTTAAGAAACTTAAGCTTTGAGCTTTAAATTTTAAGGATACCAATGGAAAGTTAGAGGAGAAAGGAAAGCTTCAAATGGGCAGGGAAATACATTGAAATTCTTGAAATTTCTAGGTGTCCAGTGAATGCTGCAAAAATAGAATCACATCAGATTTTTGCACCATATTCAACATGCTTTCAAGTTCACAGCAAGCTGAAATAAGGCAATATTTTGGAAATGATTGCCAAGGAGATACCGATGAGACAGCTAGAAAAACTGAAAAAAGAAAACCAAATTTCATTCGATTTGGCAGAAGTGGTATATTTATCTAATTTATTTCAATTCGTTCCACGTTATATCTCATGCAATAAGAAAACTCCACAAAATATTAGTTTCAAGACTGTTTGATTCATTGTAAAAGTGTAAATTGAGCGTAAGTGAGACGTGCACAGGATTTCAATAGACCTATTTTGACAACAACAATCTCTTACCATTCGACATCAAACAATAAGGTGGCCGGGTTGAACTTCTAGAGTTTAGATATTCCATTTCTTTTAAATTAGATTCAAACTCATCATTTAAGTAAGATGGGAAGCAAAATAAAAGAAATATTCAGTACCTAAGAAGTCTGGAATTTATTTCACAACACGAAATACTATTTCTTATTTACATAAAACAAATGTTACATTTTCAGCACCAGCAGTAGTGTACGAAAAAAATGACGTTGATCCGAAATTTTTACAATTTGGACATTCATCAAGTGCATTTACACCTGGCAGACAAAATTTTCTTCGATTTGGAAGAGCAGCTGAACCAAATTTTCTTCGTTTTGGTAAAACAGTATTACCATGCTTTTGTAATAATTCCCAGTAATACTCTCTACTTTTAACAGTTATATGAACCAAGTATTCGAAGCACACTTCCACTGTGTTGAGGATTTGATGGTAACTTTGATAGCATACGAACATCAATTTTGTCAGCTGTTCACGCTGTTTTGAGATGTGACGATTTTGGACTAAAATGCCCATTTCATCGGAATTAATACTTTAGTCCAGAATTGTCCAGAATCACAGATATTGGATTACTCAATTATTCTGTAAGCTGAATAGAAACAGTTAGGAACTATACATCTTACTAAGAACTAGTTTGTATAAAATCCACTTCTCGTTATTTTGATCAAACCGTTATGGATTTTTTGTAAAAAATCAATCCAAGCAAGATGACATACAGCCCGAAATGTTACCACAACTACAGGCGCGCTTCGCTTTTCCATACTGCAGCTTAAATTCCTGATCGACGTATACCTAGATGTGGTGCTTTTATCTAAACAGTTAAAGTAAAAATCAGTTGTTTAACCAAAGAATAATAGACTCCAATAACGAATTCGATTTGAGTTATAACAAAGATACATAGTTCTGCATGATATAATTCGTACCAGAATTATATGAGGTTGTACTGCATCAATGGTACCAAATTCTATTTTTGATATCTCATATTAAATTTATTCTTCAAGGTGTGAATATTCAGAAGTTTTAGAAATGGACAAAAACCGCCTTTTCAGGTCGCGTAACAGATCCTAATTTCCTAAGATTTGGCAAATCTGCTGAACCGAATTTCCTCCGATTTGGGAAACGCATTGAATTGAGAGACCCTAACTTTCTGCGATTCGGAAGAAATAGTTCTTTGCAGCCCAATCGAGAACATAACGAAGGATTCAGTCACTAAGGTCGAAAGTCTAGTTCTCCATGCTTTGGCAAATAATGCAAACAAAATCCATATAGCGTGTTATCCCTTGGATCATGTTTGCTGTAGCAGCTGAGGAGGAATAAATATTACCACCGTAATGTTAACATGATATCAAATTACAATTAATCAGACTTGAATTGGTGCAATTTCGAAAGGAATGAATTACCGTGCCTTATTTTATTTTTGCGGAATACATACTCGCTTAGCATTTTGGGACTGATGAGTGATAAACGAGGTAAGATTTCAGTCTTCAATTTTTGTCCAAAGACGGGTAATTTTGATGAGTTATTGTCCGTAAATTACTCACTGCAACATTTACTACCTTCATCTACTTGACCTTACTATTCTGTAATGAATCATGCAGAAATAAGATGGTCGGTTAAACACCACAAAACTAAATAGAGATAACACAATTAATCCCATCTCTTGATTATAATTTGGAATCAAACTGGCTAAATTATTTAGGTAAATATTTAGGTCTTTAGCTTATTACTTTGACCACTGACTTTCAGTTGGCCGTTCCCAAAATTAGAAACATGCCAAAAGAGATGGGAGTGCCTATACTTATAAATCCTTGTCTGGAGTCTGGAACGGCCATCTTCAATGTGCACATCCGCAACATCATTTAATTATGCTTAAGCGCCAAAAGAAACAATTTAAAATGTGACAGAAAAAATAAATAGATAAAAGGGTAATAAGATCATCAACAAACCCTGCTTCGCTATCATCCTCGGATACTTTATCAATCCACTGCAATATCGGTCGCATCAAACACGAAAGATTACGCAATGCTTAAAGTGCAGAAAGATGTTTATTGTTCCCATAGCAACCATTTCTCTTACTATGAGCCTTTTGGAGAGCTTAATGGTAAAATTCTGGTACGAGTTTGAGTACTGATCATATCAATCTTCATCAGTAACCTTCTAATAAATTAAGAATTTGAGAGTTGATTACATCAAAAATTTCACGGCATGAACAAAAATTGATGGGAATTAAAATGATACATACTCAACAAAATTTTCAAATTTGTTGTATTTGATTACTTAAAACAGATTAACACTTTGTGCTCAGTTCTTGACATTACGAATACTCGAGATAAGTTTTGAAATCTGCTTCTTTTTTTATTTTTCATCCCAGGACAAACAGATAATGGACAGTTAAAGGAAAGCTGATAAAAAATGAACCGAGAAAATCGCTCCTTGCCAAACCTGTTATTTGTATACCCAAAGTTGTCAGAATCACGGGTATACTTAAACAATAGTTTGCATCAACTTTTCTGCTTGAAAAACTGAATTTTCAGATCGCCCATGTAATTCGAATGGGTATGTAAAATTCGTTGTTTGTGGATAACATTCAGTGGGGTCAGGCTAATGAGTTTGTTTGAGATGATAGCATGCAATAAGGATGCATACGTTTACTTGTTGCCATTTACTATTCGGAAGCAGTTAGCTAGCATTTTGGATATTGATAATGCATGGGAATTGCTAGGTTTGTTAATTCGATTACTGATATTTACACTTTTATATTCAGAAACAAATTCCAGTGAATCTGTGTATGAGCTGCAAAGTAGTCACGATTTGTGCAGCTGTAAAATACAAAAATCATGTCCTTTAAAAAATGGTTCAGTTTTCTTGTCCAGACGTGTTGTATTTTATAGCGTTTGTGATGCCGGATATTGGAAATATAGATATTAGGGCTTGTCGAGATGCGAGGTCTTTCGAAAGTCCGACAGAGAATCTTTTGGCAATATGGGGTTCAAAAGGAAATAAGGTAACTCAACTTTACAGTTGTCTTGGTCGAGCAAAACTTGTTCGTGCAATGAAAGCAATGCGTCATCTAGGTATGTTTTTTCTGACCATTTTCGTTTCCCTTTCTCAAAGCCAAATAGAGTTTGACAGTCTGAGATTTTTATGATCCTGTTTCCTACATTTGTAATGTATATATGAGTTTAAAAATAATTTGTGCTTGACTTGACTTGCATAACTTCTAAACGTCTGAACTTTTAGTTTTCTAATGGTAACGTTTTCTAGTATTTTGATGAGTGCAGTACCCATCGATATGAGCACGAAAGACAAAAGTTGTTAACCTCGAATTAATATTCAACAAGCATATGACAGAAACTAATAAAATGTTGGAACAATCGCTTCCTTTGTAGTAGATCCATTGTTTTATCATTGGGAAGAACAGTGCTTGGAATCCGCAGATGAAAACGCAGATCAAGGAAGCGAAAAAGCAGCAACTTCTCGTTTTTGCTGTTCAGCCAAAGTATGGTCTTAGGACAAATATTTCGTAATTCTGTTTCTTAAATTTCACTAGAAGGCTACAAGTTTTTGAGCATTCCGTTTAATTTTGCTCTCTGCAGAATGACAATGTCATAACACGATGCCTTGGAGAAACGCCTTCGTTGAAGTACTCTAATAATATGAGGTGGTTGGATCCAGAAATTGAGTAACTATTTCTTAAATTGACATTTGTTTTGAACTTAGCAGGATTTATATAGACTTACATTGCTTTGATTCTTCTGTCAGGATCATTTCAGTACTTCTACCGATTCATATATAATATATAAAACTCTCCAAAATACGCTATGTATCAAGTATGGTGATATTGTAAAAATTACCAACAACTTTTCGTCGAAAAATATTCTTGGAAGTGGAGGTTACGGGACTGTTTATCGAGGAACATGGGAGCAGACAGAGGTGATATTGCATTTCTGGCATATATATGACATTGAAAAAAAAAAAACAACTGCACCAGTGTATAATATTTTAACCAGATTTGTAATCCACGCCAAGTACAATTATTATTTGGCTACGGAAGGCTTTACGCAGTATATTTCAGGTGGCAGTGAAGGTTATACAAGCTACGAAGGAGTGTGGAGCTAAGGTACTTCTAGTTTCATGTGGGAAATATTGTTCTTCACAATATTCGTTAAGAAATTGATTTCGTTCAAGTTGTAGAAATCCGTTGTAAAAATTTGTTCATTGTAAAAATTTTCAGAAAGAACAAATGCGTCAAAGTTTACAAGAACTAAGAATGTTGTCGAAATATCGGCATGACAACATTCTACCACTTTATGCATATTCACTTGATGGTCCTCAGCCTTGTTTGCTTTACCAGTACATGAACAATGGTTCATTGTTCGATTGTCTCTTCAGAAAAGTAAGATTTTATGATTTTGTAATTTTTATGTTTTATAGTTTTGCGCACTCCCTAATAAGTACTGTTAAAATACCATTGCTCCTTTTTCATTGTTCCATTTTGATTAAAATTATCATAACTTTTGGGAAGCCAATTGAAATAGTTTTAGTCGCTCGTATTTAACGACTCGAAATAACACTTTCACGATCGCTGGAAATGCCATTTAAATGATAAGTCATCATAAACGATAGTTTTACTGCCAGTTTTTTCCCGACTCAGCAAGCAGATTCTAAATACTTTATGTGTATTTGAGAGCCGTTTGAGCTACAGTTTACTGCAGTATAATTTTGTAGAAATCGATGGTTCTCACTTGGTTACAACGTATGTCAATAATGATAGGTTGCGCTCGTGCCCTACATTATTTGCATTCTGCTACTAAGAATCCAATAATTCACGGAGATGTAAAGTCAGCGAACATCTTGCTCGACAAACATTTTGAACCAAAATTAGGTGATTTTGGTTTATGCCGAGATAATACAAAAGTTAGTATACCTTGTTTTTTTCTCGTTTTTTTTTTCTTAATATAATGATTTTGAAGTTACGTTAGTAATTGGGTGAGAATTTGGTTTAAACTATGAACGATCAATTACTTTGATTTATGATGGTAAGGGCTATGATTCATCAGTAAATACAAGGGATGTATAAATCAGGATGACTGGAAAGATGATGGTTTCGTTATCGCTTCTCACGTTAAGGGAACATTAGCATATCTGCCGCAAGAATTTCTGATAGAGTTAGTTACTTATTTATATTCTTAATTGGAGCAGCTTTTATGAAAGCCTTTTATATATATATACTTTTTTTAAACAGCATTTTATTACAGCGAAAACCAAACAATGGAGTTTGACACAGTTTATTTATGCTCTATGTCATGCATATGAATCTTGAGTGTATGATAAAAAAGCGCTATCAAAACCATCAAGAACTCATGGATTCGACCATTTCTGAACTTTTTTTTTGCTTCAGGAGAATAATTAGTACGAAGCTCGATGTATACGGTTATGGTATAGTTTTGTTAGAAGTTGCCACAGGATTAAAGCCCCATGTTGTCAAACGGAATCCACAAAGTATTGTGGAGTATGTTATCGATCATCAAAAATCTACAAAGCATGAAAGTATTCTAGCTGATCACCAATGTGGTTTTACTACTGGCTAGTTTTTCACGAAATAAATTTATTTTGGTGGTCGAATTTATTGTTTCCACAATGTTGAATAATTCACAAATATTTGCTCCTGAATAGAAATTTTTCTTGAAATTCATTATGAAATTCTGTCACTCGTAAGAATTTTTCAGACTCAGACATCAGTTACTTCAATCTTATTCTACAAACTGGATTAAAGTGCGTGGTGCGAGATTACCGAAGAAGGCCAACGTTTCGAGAAATCATCAATGCGTTCTTATACGTATATAACGGAATTTAAAGGAACTAAGCACGTTAGACTGGTATTTCGTGTTTTAAAAGTTATTGTATATATGCTAGAACTTTATGAATGTAAATATTGTATCGAAATTCATATCTCTCTTTTATAAAGCTCAACGAGACTTTTGTATTTTTCTTGCGGTCTGTATTTGGTATATGCATACTTGTACTGAACTGTTAAAAAGTTTTATTGCGAATGAATACTATGCGTCTGATAAAAGTGGTGATAAAAGGCTTACTAATAATTTTAATTAAATTCCCACTCTTCATTTGGTTTGGTTTAAACCAGAGTTTCTGGATACTGGCGAATAAGGAATAGGTGTGTACAAATGCATCGTAAGAAGCAAATTCATTTTTTTAATGACAGATTTTTCTAGTGATGAACACTGATGCTTCTGAACAAGGTGCATCGGACTGCATGGAAATCCGGATGACAGAAGACGAGTTAAGAAAAGGGTCCTCTGTAGCATTCTGCGAAATCTGTTCGCGGACATTTGCAAACAACAATGCATTCCGTCTGCACCAAGTGAAAACGCATAACTGTATATGTGGGAAGGCCGATTTGGCTTTGTTTCATCGGAAACGAATTACATCAGGTATGTGAGGAGGTAGCAGAGATAAGAGGTAGTACATCAGGTGACAGATCAAAAAAATATTGAGAAATAAATTAGTCAAGTACACCTAAACTGAATTTACAATTTTCAGGGGCTGAAAAGCATTATTTCTGTCCTGTCATTGGTTGTCGGTATAACACTGGTCGCTTTTTCAGTGCTTATAAACTTCTTCATCAACATTTTTTCAAAGTTCACGGTGAAAAGCGTTTTAGGTGATGTTTTCTTTTTCATGTTTTTTAGTTTCATTTGGCTTATCATTTCCAATTTTTTTTCTGGTAGTTGTTTCGTATTTTTTAGTGATGTGTTTTGCTTATAGATGCGATAAATGTAAAACGGCAAGATTCAGTTTGCAGCGTGATCTATCATACCATCAAAAAAAGCGGTGTTTGTTGAAGGGAGGAATGTCATCTTAATTTTTAGTATTTTTTCATTCGGAAGTGATATGCTACCTCTACTAATTGTTTTTCATTCACTGATCTTGTAGAATGTATAGTGGTTTCTTTTACATCTGTAAAGTCTTAAAACCTGCGTCTTATATTTCTAGATTGTACTACCTATACGTCAACATTAATTGGAATGAAATCAAATTACGCAGAAGTAGAAAGGCGTCCAGAAAAATTACTCACTAGAAACCACGATCAAAATATGGTCTCTACAATGTCTGAGTTAGTTGGGAAATACTTCCACTGTATTCTTATGTCTATATATGGCGATCCTTAATTCACTTTTTCAGGAATAAAGTTACAAATGTCGTCATCATCAATGTGAATGACGTCCATGCCAGTGTCGCATCATCTTTCAGAGGAATCCACCCGAAACCAAAGTAAGCGTAATTGATTATTGTGCATGATGTAAATCAGTCATACAGATGATATAAATTCTAAATCTCTCACGAGCAGAGGAAACAAAACACCTACCCCGTGTTCTGATCTATAATTCATCTTCCTGTCTGAAGTTTTTAACTTAACGTTTGTTATTTTTTGTATTACGCAAAACATTCAGATATATGAGTTAACGAATTATATGAGATAAAGAGTTATTTAATTTCATCCATCGAAGAGGATTAAGCAAAGTTTATAATATCAGTTACTCTATCCAAGCTAGTCTTTTTCTCCAAAAGCGTTGGTCACAGTTGTCCAGGAATGTTCATTGGTTTTTTTTTTTTGTTTTTATCCATTTGGTTTGAGCATGCTGAGATCTGTCTAGTCGTTTTGCTTGTGACTCGCACTGTTTAGTGTTGTAGAATGTTGACAGGTACTCATAGAATTCTTATTCTTGCTCACTGAATGGTATGGCTCTTCAGAACATTGTCGAAAACGTCTTCATCTAATTCTAATCATTTTTACGAATTTCTCACAACGTTAAACTACCTTCATCTTCGGTTTTCGCCAGCTCACGGCAAGACTTGCCTTTCTAGACCGTATATTTGGGAGGTATCTGCTACTTTTTAGTTTATACTGGTAGGATTGTGTGCCATTTTACTTTGCACAATGTTGAAACACACGAGGTTAACCTCCATTTCGAACAATTGTGAAAGAATATTCACAACGAGAATATGATGTTCGCGATTCAGTCGACTAGTTTTTTTTTTTTTCATTTGTTTGATGGTTCCATATCTATACAGATATTCCACGATTTGTTTCCCTTTCGTGATGTTTAGACTGAAACGACTGAAACGAGACGTGCACTATGTTCTTTAGATTTGCATAGGTTAAACCCTATGTTCCAGTCAAAATTGATTGGGAGATTACAAAATGCTGAGTAATTTCCCACAGTATCCATAGGGGATCTAAATAATGGTTCGTTATATTGGATTTGAAGCAAAGAAAAATCCATGTGCAACCTTTCAAAAACATTTTGTATAATTACCATTTGCTCCCATTTTACATATTGCTAATTCAGATTTCGAACGACAAAAAGCAGCCAAACAGATTATATGAAATGTTATGATAAATCGGTTATGTGTCATGCAGGTTCACAGACGACACAGTGTAGTACTTGCGAATTCTCCACGCCGGTAAACTTTCAAAACTTTGACCTCAAGGTGTAATTATTAGAAATTATAAGGCAGTCATTCATTTTCTAGGTGTTGCACAAGTATAACGATTCCCACTGCCAAACGCATATTGCAAGCGGAGTTGAATTTGGTACGCAGATCTACCCGGAAGACGTAGCTAGCGGTGATCTTAATGTAAAACACAATAAGACACACAATGAGTTTGAATTCGAAGATATTTGGCGTCATATCGAAACACAAACTTCCACTTTTACTGGTAATGATGCACTGACGCAAACAGCTATAGACTTCATGGATAGTGCAAGCATGACTGATTGGGACCTGTTGATTTGATGAGGTACGCTGATGAATTATCGCTTTAGCGAGCCGTTGCTTAATTTATTACTTGAAGTATGAGAACCTGTACTCACTTCACTCCAAATTATTTTGAAATAATGAGTAGACGTTTTGAAAATTACAACAAATCATTTCCTCGCTTATTTCTGAGTCAAGCCTAAAATTCCTAAAATTCCTTGACCCTTCGAAAAATTCCTGCAAGCAATTTTCAGGAAAATAGCTGCATTTTAGAAAAAGAGATTTCAATTGCAATACGAAGGTTGTAATGCAGATATTCTGGTCTACACGTCTCAGTCAGTCTTTTACAAATCACACTGTTTCACTGTGATGCAAACAAAATATAAACGTCCCAGTCAGTCACGAAAGTTCAAATAGCATTGTTGGATTTGGAAAAATTGTCTATAAAGTGTGGAAGTTGAGCAAGAGCTTGGGCAAACATTGAAGACAACATAACGAATCATTCAAAACTGAAAGAATCTAATCAGTAACTTCCAGTACAATATAATATTTACAAAGTAAGAGAACTATGCTGGAATACTACTCCAGAATAAGGATATCAAAACGTCCTAGTGCTTACTTTTCCTATGCTCTCTCAAGATTTATAAGACCTAAGAATGCTCCAGAACTCAGCAAGCATTCATAAGCAATCAGGAGAAAAGGTATATATATATATATATATATATATATATATATATATATATATATATATATATATATATATA